TTACAGTCTGCAAAAGCTATTGCTGACCGAAAGTCTGCATCCAAGCCCATTGGATTTGAAGGGGATCTCCGTGGCCAGTCCTCTGATCTTCCGGAAAGACTCCATTCCCAGGAGGTGGATTTGGCCTCTTCTCAGGGAGACTGTTTGATGGCCGGCAACGACTCTGAGGAGGGCCTCACTGCACTGATGTCCCGGAAGACTGCCATCTCGCTATTTGAAGGAAAAGCCCTGGGCCTGGATAAGGCCATCTTGCACAGCGTAGACTGTTGCTGTAAGCACACCTGGGTGCCAGGATACAGTGAAGGGAGGTGGAGATAAGTGAACTGGCTCAGTCGTGCTTGAGATGTGCAGCATTTTCTCTCAGAAATCATCAAGCCTCCTCCATCCTTGCCTTGCCAGGGGCTGGGAATACAGTAATGCAGTGCAGCTGGTTCCTGGCCCCATCGCACTTGCACTGCCATTTAGTCTAGTGCTAGCAATGAAGGTTATCACACAGACCATAAATTACAATTCTGGTAGGTGCTAGAGTTGAACTAAAGAGTTCCTCCTGAGTTTCTGATCAAGATATGTAATTAAAAAAAAAAAGAAATTCTTCCTTCTCTTGGGGAACTAGAGGTGGCTTTCTTGAGTCATGAGAGATATGAAGGATGATTGGAGGGTTAGCATTCAGAAGCTGGTGGCATTCTGGGCTGAGGAAGCCTGCTAAACCAGCATGCTTAGCCAGGCAGTCCATAGCACACTGGAACTCCCATGCACCTCCTTTAAAAGTTTGACTCTAATCGTAAGAGTAGTTGGGCAGCAGGTCCCCATCTGCAGTGTTGAGGGTGGATTTGGGGACAGATCTTGAGGCTGTTAGGTTGTTCAGGTGACAGATAGTGGATTGGCCATGTAGATGGGTAATTGGCAGGATGTCACTATCTTTTCAGCATCTGATGATACCAAAAAGAAGATGTACAGCTCTATCCTGGTTGTGGGAGGCGGTTTGATGTTTCATAAGGCTCAAGAATTTCTCCAGCACAGAATTCTCAACAAAATGCCACCTTCATTCAGGAGAATTATTGAGAATGTGGATGTGATCACAAGGCCTAAGGTGAGTTGTTTCATGATGCAAGTTGGACAGGACTCAAATGAAACCACCGTTGGCTACATCTAATGGCAATGTGCGTGGATAATGAAATCTGGGGAGGCATGGGCTTGTGACTGTGGAGTTTTGGTAACTTGGAGAATGAAAACATTAATTTCTACTGGGTCACAAATATGGCAAGAGTTCTGGACTCAGCTAGATTTCTTTTGCTTCGGTGTTTTTATTTTTAAGATTGATTTTATGTTATATGTTTAAGTGTTTTGTCTACATGTGTGTCTGTGCTCATACATGTACATGGTGCCTGCAGAGGCCAGAAGAGGAAATCAGATTCCCTGGAAATGGACTTAAGGTGTTTATGATCTGGCATGTAGGTGCTGGGAGCCTAACCCAGGTCCTCTGGAAGAGTGGTTATTAACCCCTGCGCATTCTCTCCAGCCCTGATTTGATCCTTTGAGATATGCTAACCTATTGTGTATTTAAGGCTGGCCTTCTTGAGTTCCTGATACTCCTGCTGCTACCTCCCAAGTTTTAGGGGTCAAGGAATATGCTGGTGTGCCTGGCCAGCATTGAGACTGGCTTTCTTTTTCTGGTCTGCGGACTGGAGATCTTAAAGGACTTTCTTTTTTTTTTTTTTTTTCTCTTGAACTACTTTGAAAAAAACAACAACAACAAAGCCAGACATTTAGCAATAGGTCCTACTTGCATTTGGAACTCCTGGCAGCATTCTGATGTTTTCTTTGGGTGGGTGGGGGGTTCTTAGAGGTCTCCTTCCTCTGCTGGAACCTCCAAGCATGTCGGTGAAATCGTGGACAGGGACATCTTCAGTATTAAAAATTGAGTTCTCATCAGCTATAGCAGAGACGGGTATGTGGGTGATTTCTGCCTTTTGTTCTGGTTGTTACAGTGCAGGGAATTGTTAGGCCGGTGCTCTACAGCTGAGGTACAGTCCAGCCAGTTTCCTGTTGCTTCACACAGATATAAATCCTGGCTTGTTTGCCATTGACAGAGCAGGAGTCCCAACCCCACTTGCAGAAAATGGTGCCATGTATGTCTTACCTGCCTTTGCTGAAATAGCTTTATCTTTGTCTAGGACATGGATCCCCGACTGATTGCATGGAAGGGAGGTGCAGTATTGGCATGCTTGGACACCACTCAGGAACTGTGGATTTATCAGCGAGAATGGCAACGCTTTGGTGTCCGAATGTTACGGGAGCGCGCTGCTTTTGTGTGGTGAAAACCAAAACTAGATCTCTGCACATAAAAGACTTAAAGAATATATGTATTTTAATTTATTGACCTTGAAGCTTGTTTCTTAGAATTAAATGAATTCAACTTTATGTTAAAGTATGGCACTGATTTGAAATTACAGTCTACTTTCCTTCGGGTCTACTCCCTCCCTGATGGGAAACCTTGCTGTGGGGCCTTCTAGCCTGATGAAACATGAAGCCCCGTGCAGCAGCAAGGGGTGCTGTGTGAGTGCTGGAACCAGCTGTGCTGTGTTTTCCCTTTTTATTCTAGCAGCAGATCCAAGTGGTCTGTCTGGGGTCTGTGTACATCATTCAAGGTCCTCTTAGAACTAAGCATTGTCTTTGTAACACCCCACCCCCAACCTGTCTGTGTATATCTGCAATGTTGTTGTTTGATACAACATTTGATAACAAAGTTTGATTTACAGAGTACCAGTGCAGAGCCCAGTGCAGGCAGGGCTTTAAGGCTAGGCTGGCTAGTTTTGTTACCCTCGTTCCTTTAGGGTAGGCTTAGGGAAAGGAGCAACTCAGTACCTGAAAAGGAAACCTTGTTCCTTTCCTAAAGCTAAACAGAAATTGCTTAGGAACGATTTAGAGTTGTTAGCCCGTATTGTACAATAAAACAGGTGGCTGCTGTAATTAATAACTTCATCTTCAAGTGTCTAGTTTGCGTTTTCCTGATGAACCAAGTAAAAGCTTTTGGAGTTCAGTATGATCAGCTGACTTGACTCTGAACATTGTAGAGAAAAGTTAAACATAGCCATTCATACCACTGGTCCTGGGCTCTTAGGAAGTCTGAGCTGCAGCAAGGGAGAGGCTGGACATAGTGCAGGCAGGGGCTACAGCGCCAGGGAGGGAGAGGAGGGGAGGTGGAGCAAAGTTCCTTAAGCTGGCTGTTAGGCATCTGCTCCTGTCATTTCTGTCAGCAGACTTGGCTTGGGGAGGCCTAGGAGGTAGAAGTCCAAGGTGGGAGAATTGCTGGTACTGTAAGGATAACCAGGCAAAGCTCAGTAGGTTAGGAGCAAGAGACATCTGCTAAACTTTAACCTGATAATGCTATTTGGATGTATACTTTTAAATTTGAAAAGTATCTGTTCTTTTACAATTTGGAATGGTTTTATGTTTCTGGGTTGTTTGAAGGCACTTTACATTCAGCCTGTGTTTTCAGAAGCATAATGTACCTGTTGTAACCATTCTCCACATGAATGTCTCTTATAGTGTTGATTTGGAGGAAGACTGGCTTCTGGTGGCTGAGCCTTGCCACACCTGCACTGCCTCAGCCATTACAGAGTTGTGTGCTCATGAAGCTGGATGTAGGGCGTTTGTACTTCATGCACCTTTGGGTTTTTATTTCATTCATAAGGCGTATTAGAATGAATGCTGTGGCCTTTTACATTGGCCCTTTTTTGCTTTCTTTTTGTATTGTTGAACTCAGGGCCTGTGCATGGTATACAAATACTCTGTCACTAAGCTGCAACCCCAGAACATGACCTCTGAGGATGATATGCAAGTACAGACTTTTTTTAAAGATGGTCTTAACCTTCAGCCTGCAACACACAACTCTGCCTGCTTCCCTCCATAGCGCTGTGATATAAGATGTGTGCCACCGGGGCTGGAGAGACAGCTCAGTGTTTAATAGCATTTGCTGCTCTTCTGGACGATCTGGGTTCAGTTCCCAGCACATGTCAGGCAGCTCACACCATCTGTAACTTCAGCTCTGGGGATTTGAGGTTTTTGGCCTCTTTTGAGTGGGTGTTTTGGAGTGGGTACTCACATGCACATAGCCACATGCACACACAGACACCTACGCACAATTAAAAAGTTCGCTACCACTCCTAATTAGAAACTTTCGCTTTTGTTTTCTTTAAACAAGTCTTTCATTATGTAGCACTGGCTGTTTTGGAACTCATTATGTAGACCAGACTGCCCTTCAACTCAGAGATTTGCTTTCTTCTGCCTCTGCCTCGGATTAAAGGCATGTGCCTCCATGCCCAGCCTCCAGCTACAAACATTTTAACAGTCAACTATCTGAAACTGGATCACGTCACAAAACAAATTTATTATTCTGTATGAAGCCTTACTAGACAAATACATACTGTCATTTAGGTACATTTTTTGTGGTTTGTACATTAAGAAAAAGCTGCTTCAAGAAAGTTGAAGAGGTAGAAGACTCAAAATGTTCTAAGTCTGTGCACTCTTACTGTTTGTTCTGGTTTTTTGTTTTGTTTTCTTTTAAATAAGATTTACTTACAGTAGGGGTTATAGAGAGGTCGCTCAGCAATGAAGAACATTTGCTCATACAGAAGACCCTGGTTTGATTGTTAGCATCCACAGTGACTCACACCTGTCCGTAACTCCATCTTTGGGTCATCAGGCGCCCTCTTCTGACTTCAGGCACCTGTGACACCAGGCAGGCCTGTGGGATACACAGTGACCCACACCTGCCCGTAACTCCATCTTTAGGTCATCAGGCGCCCTCTTTGGACTTCAGGCACCTGTGACACCAGGCAGGCCTGTGGGATACATGTAAGCAAAGCACTAGTAGAGTGTTTTACATGTAAAGTGCCTTTAGCCAGAAGAGAGTACCATATCCCTCCGAAAATAAGATGGCTATGAACTGCCATGTGGGTGCTGGGAATTAAACCCAGGTCCTTTGGAAGAACAGCCAGTGCTCTAAGCCTCTAAGCCATCTCTCCAGGCCTTGGTGGTTGTTTTGTTTTGTTTTGTTAATTTAAGTAATTGATTATTAAAAGATACATAACTTCAGAAGAGCTAATTTCAGTTTAAGAATTCACTTTGACTTGAATAGGAAATGTTCTGTAATAACCAAGAGCTTGGAATTAGAACAGTGGACAGGTAACTGGACAAAAGTAGACAGCAGATTTACAGGTAACACATTTTTGTTTGTTTGGGACAGGGTCTCACTGTGTATCTTTGGTTGGCCTCAGACTCACAGAGTTCCTCCTGCCACTTGAGGGCTGGGCGTAAGGGTGCCACACTCCATCTGGTCACCTGTAAGGGACTGGGATAGATTTCAGGGGGAGAGCATTGTCCAGCATGCATAATACCCAGGATTCAATTCCTGGCCCTTAAGATAAAAAGGAAAGGTTGCCTGTCCAAAAGTTTGGCAAGGAAAGGCACTCTACAAATAACAAACAGTACGGTGGTGACACGTACACCGGTCTCCTGGTCAGCCAAGCTGGGTCCAGCTTGCGTGTGTGCTAGGCTTTTTCTCTGAGGAAGGTACAGAATTAGTGAGTGCCTCTCAAATGGATTATCCATTAACAGATCGAAATGTTACAGGGTTAAACAGTCCTGCGTGCAGCGCAGGCAGGAGCAGTTGGTACAAGACTGGGATGCCTGACTGGGAAATGCCTTCCTCCTTCATTGCCAGAATGCTTGCTTCTCAGTGGTGAGCATTATTAGGCTTTGGGTATGTGACTGAGCTTTGCAAATTTAGGGTTCCACTCACTAATGTGTATAACTGCACTATCTCCATAAAACCGGCTAGTGACTAGCCTCGGGCATGTGTGCTCAGGTTCTGACTCTGCAGGCTGCAGTTTTCAAGCAAGTTCAGCCTGTACAGTAAATTCCAGGGCTATCACAAAGCCTTCTGTCACTGGAATTGGTAGGGTAGGAAGCCTCCAGGGTCTCTCTTCTGGTGGGCTACAAGGGTGAGCAGCTGCCTTGGCAGGCTTTTGAGCGTTTTTTCATTGACATGTTTTGTGTCACTTTGAGAAGGTCTGTGTGGAAAGCGGTGGCGTCCTTCATGAGATGATACTGGGGACAGACACTCAGAGCATCATAGTCGCCTTTGATGTCGGCTTCTCCAAGACAGACCACCAGATACTTGTGCAGATGAGTCTGGCTGCTGAAATCGCTACAGAAAAGGTTAAAGGCAAGAGGGAACAGGTCCTGAGAGTTCTCCCTGGTGCTGCCCTCATCCTGGCCACAGGCACTGTCACAAAGGGTGTGGATGTCGCTGGCAAGAAGGAAGACCACTTTATCTGCTGCTTGCTTCTGACTGGTAAGCCACTGCACTGGACCCATCTCGGCTATTTTCCTTTTCTGCCATTTTTCGAGGATGACCTCACTTCTGCAGTGGTTTTGAAGAAAGTCAGTGAAGCGACAGACTGTGTGATGGAAACAGACCTCGGATGGGTAAACCACCAGGACCTTAACGGGGGGCAGGAGCACGGTGGTAATTGGAAAAGACGTCTTGGTGCTCCTTCCTGTGGGGGAAACCTTGTTAATTGAACAGCAAATAACAGGCCTTTCCAGTCGTCTGCACCACCACTAAGTGACCCCCACCAGAGCATGTCAGCAATGAGCAGGCCTTTGTTCCTGCCAGGCGAAAAATAGCCATTGTCCTTTTGAACACCTGAAACACTGAGGCTTAAATCATCAAAGCGTTTTAAAATATGCTTTTCTAAGTCCCTATCAGCCTTTATAGGCAAGCTCTGGGTTTTTTGAGGGGGAAGGGGGAGGCAGGGTTGTTTTGTTTTTCTAGATAAACCCATAGCAGCTGTTGAGGCTTGAGGGCAGCGAGCGTGTTTAAAGTGAGCATTAAAACTTCTGTGCTTTGACACACGTGACCTCTCCACATAATGTCAGGAGTCGAGTCGACTCTAGTTTGTTTGTATCGTCTTCTACCTGCAGGTGGTAGAGTTTTCTATACTGCTCTAAAGTTAAGCCCCACACTGTGCTACACAACAGGACCATGCACAAAGCTGTTGCAACCCTGTAGCTAATATGGCGCCAACAGCATCCTCTGAATGTGAGTACTCTTGAGGTGGAAGTTCATGTGGCTTCCTTAGCTTAAAGTGTAAAGTTGAACTTCTGCCATGACATAGGGTAACTCACAGGGTGCCTTAAGAGCTTCTTTTCAGTTTGTCGAAACAAGTCCTCATGTAGCTCATACTGGTTTTGAACAGTAATTGAGGATGTCCTTGAACCCCTGATCCCTTCCTCTTCCTCTCAAGGGTTGAAAGTACAGGTTTCTGCTGCCACTTTCAACTGTGTTTTTTTTTTTTTTTCTACACATGCAGTGTGTGTGTGGGGGATCTCATTAGAGTATCTTCAGAGAGTCACCATCCTTACCTTGCCTCCAAGTTAGGTAGATCCCAGCTGCCAGCACCCATGTAGCCACCAGCAGCACCAGGAGGAGAGGCATCCAGCCTCCCAGCATGCCTCTGTCTGCAGGAGACAGCTCAGTCACCATAACAGCAAAGCTACATTTGCCCTCTATTTTAAATGGATTCTTTTACTCTCCTTCGTGGAAGTTTAGACCTTTCCAAATCAAGGGCTAAAAGGTCTTTCAAGAGTCTGCTGATTAAGGGCTCTTTCCCAATATCCAGGTCACTTACAACAATTTATCATTGAGGGCTGGAGTGATGGTTCACGCCGTTAGAGGTAGGCTCGCAACAACAATTAAAAAAAAAAATGTGTATGAATACAGGCACACATGTGCCACAGTGTATGTGCGGAGGTCGGAGGACTTTAGGGCATTTGTTCTCCCTTTCACCATGGGTTCCAGGTTCTGAGATCCATACAGCAAGTGATTCTACGCACTGAATTAGGGCCCATTCTCTAAACTCAGGTTTCTATTCCTTAAGCACACAAGCACTTTCAATGTGACAACTAGAATATGAATCTTGTTTTTTTTTTGTTTGTTTGTTTGTTTGTTTTGTTGTTGTTGATTGAATAATTTTTGTTCCTCAGGATGAACTTAGATACATAATTCACCCACAGCTGTGTGCCCACATAGAAGTCAAGGCCCTAGGATAATTATCTAAAGCTTGTAAGGCTGTTTCTTGTCTTTTGTCCTCACCTCTGGGATAGTTTGAGAACATTTTATTTGTCCATCGTTAGTAAAAAGAACTGACACATCTCTAAATCCAGAGACATTTTCGAGAACATGCTGTCAGGTACCAGCGAGGTCTCTTTTCATGCCAGTATTCCTGATTTGTTAACCAAATAAGATTCTGAGAGAACTGGAATGCCTTGAAATGCACACTCCCTCATGGGACGCAGCCTCTGCTCTCCAACAGTCCTTGGTTCCCATTCCATAGCCTTGTGGCACTCTCAACAACCATTTTGCACTCTTTTTTCCCCTTCTGTATATCCTGTGTTTGAAAAGATAGTGGTTTTATTTAAAAACAAACAAACAAACAAAAACCTTTCTTCTTAGTTATGAGATCTCTGGGGTAGCATAGGCATTGTTCTGTCACACCAGATCCGGGTACCCAGGCAGGGACCTCTTAATGCTCCTCACAGACCCAGCATAACCTGTTACTACCGAAGGGGCCCTGTGTGTCCTGACCCTCCAACCACGCAGTGGTAACGACAGGACTTACTGTTATCTGGAGAGAAGGGAGCACTTGTCTCTGAACACAACACAACTGTTCCTTCACGTCGGATGCAGTCATTGCCACAGGTGTGCAAATACGGCGTCAGCTAAGGAAAGAGAGGTTAGAAAATGCTTTGGGAGATGTTTTGTATTGTCCTCATTTCCAGCACACACACACACAAACACACACTCCTTTTTTGTTTGTTTTCACCTGTTGGCATGGTCAACAATTTTCCACTTGGTTACACTTCTGTAGTCCACAAATCCAATCTGGTGACCCAAGACCAAAATACCTGCATGCCCTTGAACTTTGTACATGGTAATGACATTTTCCTTATCTAAAAGGGTGGCTACATCCTAATAAACATAGAAATCTTCCCCCTGGACAACGGGAGGTGAGTTCCCTGGCACTGGGAAAGTCTATGACGTCCTGGAAGGTGCAGTCACAGTGGTGCCAGAGTCTGCTTTCTTGGCCACCCTGAGCACTTCATGGTCAAGGGCGTGGAGAATGACTTGTGTGTGGCTGTGTTGCGCTGTGGTCCTCCGAAAACTACAGGGACCTCACTTCTATCTGGGCCAACTGAGGCCCCCAGAAGATGAACAGTTGTTCTCTAGAGTTCTGGTATTGACCTGGACTCCAGCCATCTAGCTTCAAACCTTTGCAGCTTCACTTTTCAACTAAAACTGAGGCTTTGGAGAAATAAAATGGCTGTCCTGTCTAAGAATCACTCTGAGGATCCGTGGTAGAAAATAGAAGTAAAAGCACTTTGGAAAGTCAACAGCCGCTAGTGTGAGAAAAGACCCCAGAGCTGCCAAGTCAGCCTCCTGATCTTACCACTGTGAAGACTAATAAGTGTCCCTGGAAGCACACTTGACTGGGGCTATGGGAATGAGACTTGCCATCCTTTAAAAGATGCATCAGAGGGCTGGTGTGTATCAGTTGCTGAATACTTAACCTAGAGCTCAAAAAGTCCTAGGATTAGTCCCTAGCATCCCGCCGCCACACATGCACATTCAGAAAGCATCCACGCTGGAGCTACCACTTCTCTAGTGTCCTTCCCAGATCACTGTGTAACTCACCTGAACCACAGCACCTTCACTTTCCTCATCCACCGAAATGGCTACCGATGTCCGTGTCAGTTTATTCTGGTGCAGATAAATGAGACACAGTCAAGAGCTATAGGGTGCGAGTGAGTAGACAGGCTGTCAGTGAGGAAGCCTGTCGGTCTTCCTGACTGACTTCTGATGCGTCAGACTGTGTGAAAAAGGACTCCTTCAGAAGCCTAGAGTTTCTGCATTTAGCTCATTCTCGACTTATGTACCCAGGATGTCTGCAGGGCCTTCTTGCTGCTACATTGATCAAGAGAGCCAAGCATGCTTAGACAACAGTTAGCTCTGGGCTTTCGTGAAAGAAAACGTTTTTAAAGGATCCTGAAGTGTATTTTCTTCAAGATAGCATAGCTAGATGGGGGGGGGGGGCGTGTAGTGTGATACGGAAATGAAGGGGAGAGTACCTCCAGCACGGTAGAAATCCCCAACAACACATTCCGTCGAATGAGAACCGTGTATGTGTTTGCAAGGGGATCGGTTGTAAAATTCACTTCAACTGTCTTCTCATTCTTCTTACAAGCAGTGATGTTTGGATCCCACAGGCTTCCTACAAGTTGAGAGAGAACCATACGAGTGACCTGATAACTCTTCCCTCATCTGAGTCCCCAAGGGGGCTTTACAGAAACAAATCTAAATCCTTAGGCGCATACCAACGAGACAGGAGCCAGACTGTAGTCTGTCTTCTGACATTGTTCCCAGAATTCCAAAGTCTCTGATGTCCAAGAAAGTTTAGGAACTCCCTACACAGTGCCACTACTTTGCTAAAAATAGCTTCTTTAAGCTGGCAGCAGTAGGTACAGATCTCAGTCTGTGACTCAGTTCAATGCTCACCCTACATTTTGAGGTAAGAAAGCTCGGACCCCCGTTTTCTCCTTTCTAGGGTGGGAGGAGAAGCCCCACTTTATGATGTAAGCCTCAAAATTCAGAGTGAGTGCACTGAGGCCCAGGGCTTACAAGCACAAGGACATGCTGCTGCCTTTACTGACTACAAAGAAGGGAGGAAATGCCAAACAGCTTACAGGAATCCCTGGCAGAACAACTATCAGAAAGTCCGTTGTCTCGCTCATGTGACTTGCAAATAAGAGTGGACAAATTTCCAGGAACGTGTATACATAATAGCACAGATTATCTTCCCTACTGTTGGAACTGTTTTGGGCGCTGGGTGGGGACTGGTTCTAGAAGAGGGCTGATTCCAGGTCCTGGACCTCCCACCCCTTACAGCTCCATTCTCTTACAATGCTTCTGATGGGAGGAAAGATCTTCCCCAACATCATTAGCATCACAGACTGTACTGTTCTGTCATATTCACCGTTAGAAGCTGGGGTGAGGTGAGAGACTGTCCTAAAGCAGCTCCCTCATCATTCAAAGGAAGTTCTAAGGGTCTACCGTAGAGAGGGCAGTCTTTTGAGAAGGCAGCGAGGGTCTTCCTTGGACAAACTCTCACCCTGTTAATCCAAGCAGAAGGTACCCAGAGCCTCCTCTGACCACAGGTCAGTTGTGATAAGCAGGTGTAAAGGCTAGTGGAACCCTCCTCCAGCCACAAAAAACAGTTTCCATGGGCAGTGCTCGTAAGTGGGATTTGGGATAAAGTGTTAGTTTAGGCAAGGGGCAAGGGCAGTTTTCTGTAGCTGTTGCTCTACTATGTAAACCTAAGAGCCTGTCCCAGTCTGCCTTGCTGCTTAGACCAAAGCCGCTCCTTTGCCGAGTTCAGTTTTTTAACCTGTCTGAGGATAGATGGTCATGCGCCCCAGTCGGGAATATCTCCAAATGGCAAAAACAAAATGCTACCTCTACTTACCAGCCTCAATGCACTGCTTCTTATATTTCATGACATGGTTCAGGCAGCCTGGGAATTCAAATGGAAGTTGTTACAAAGGTATCTCTATTATAACCTCTTGCCTAGTATACACATACTTCAGATATGAAAAGAGACACAGCAGATCTAAACAGGACAATCACATTTTGCTGTTCAAAAGAAAATCATTCACCCATGGAAGCTGTAAGTAGTCCCATGTAATTACAACCTTTATCAAAACAGTCTCCAGGGGGTGACTTGGAAGCCAAAAAAGTGAGAGCTGATAGTAAGGCAGATGTAAGCTCTGCCTCTCACAGATGTGAAGCTCTAGGTAGCGGGTCTCTAGATGCCTAGTAGGCATGACCCCCACCGACATCATCACACACCCCGGAGAGGACATAACGAGGAGGGGTTCATACCTGAACCTCATATTCCTGGCTTATGTGTGAAACAAGAATCAGACAAATTCAAATTGGAGAAAATCTAGATAACGTTTGACAAGGTCATGAAAAACAATGGCCAGAGGCGGCTGGGGTTGTCTGAGGGACTAAACGCCTCCGGACAGGAAGGCTGTACTGGAAAGGCAGGTGAATGCCAAAGAGCCTGGTGTTCAGTTGATGGAAATATGGCGATGTTATCTTCCTACTTTTCACAAGCGTACCCTGAAAACAAGATGCTGGCAACCAGAGGAACCAAGACTATGTACAAACTTTGCGATACTTCCGCAGCCTTTCTAACACCCTCCCCCAAAATAAACCAGTGAGCTTTGGTGTCACCAGGAAAGTTGGAAAGTACATGTAGTATATAGTGTGGCACCCAGCTCAAGGCACCAAGCACAAAGGAGCAGAGGTGGAGGGTCGCCATTGCTGTGTGCACAGTCCAGGGTAAGTGCCTGAAGAGAAGGATTCTGTGTCCCGCCTGGCACCCAGGAACATGCTTTCCCTACATTTCCCTAACAACCCTCTCCACCCTGAGTGAGCGGTGGTAAGTACCGTATCCACAGATGAGGACACTGACAGCATTGAAAGGCTCCTAAGGCTCTTCGCCTCAACCCACATGCCACAACACACATGAGACCGTAGGACGGGATAACCAAAGAGGTGAGGAAGTTTACCTGGCGAGGTGAAGTTCACAGACAAGGAAGGGCTGTCCTCATTCATGTTAGCATTGGGGATATTGTGGGCCCCGATGAGATACAGTGTGCTCAGCTCCACTGGGAAGCCTACATAGGAGAACGTCCACTGCAAAGTAAAGCAAGGCATCTGTACAGCGGGAGAGCAGAGCCCTTGTATTGGGCCATGTCCATTTGTAAATTTTTTTTTTCACATTAATACTGTGTGTGTGTGTGTGTGTGTGCATTTTAGAGCCAGGATATAATTTAAGTCTAGCTCCCATCATTGAGTCTCAAAGATGCTGACATCCCCAGGCACTGAGCAGACAAGTGAAGTTCTACATCTTGTTTTGCAAAACAGTTTTTTTTTTGTGTGTGTGTTCTTCATCACCAGGGTTTTCTAAAGCGCATTATTTGTGTTCCCCACACAAAGGGCCCATCTGCTAATGATAGCCATGTGCCTAAAAGTGCTTACTTTGCCACCAGAAGGTCTGGTCTGACTTTGGAAGGCCTCTGTGTAGTTGCACCTCACACAGCTATAGGACTGCATGTTGTTTTTGCCAGTCACACAGATCTTGGTGGCCTTCAGCAAGCGGATGCTGGCTGCAGAGACAGTGAAGTGGGAAGTTGTTTCATCAGCGCTTACACGGCACACAGGGCACTCAACAGTTTAAAAGCTTCATCCCAGCTGGTGTGTACCACGGTGTCCAATGCAGATGTCATGGATGAGGCTTTGGGAGTCTTGGGGATACTTCTGCCCGAACTTCCACAGCTCATCAGCAGAAGATGCAAACTCAAATTCCAAAGCCAAGGACCCCTGTTGCTTACAGGTTGGCCTGAGTTGTACAAAGTGCCTGTGGTCAGCGATGCATCTGCCTGTTCTAGGTCTCTTGAAAAGGACAGACTTTGGGGTTGGTACATATCCTAGGACATGTCTTCCAGAGCATGCATATGGGTAATTATATTAGGTGTGCCCAGGAATGGAAATAATGGGTCCTATACACTGCATACTTCTGGTTTAGTAGATGCTTCAGGCTTTAAATTTTTTTTTTCTACAAAGACTCTTCAAGCATCGGTATGCCTGTTTTGACTGCCCTATGTCTACACAGACCATTCTTTCTTGTGTATCTGTTCCTCCATCCTACCTTTCCAAAGGAACTTTCCAAGTTCCTCTTAAAGTCCATAACATCATCAACCAAGACCTCACCCTGTTTGACATGGGGCCAAAGCCTATTATTCCATCTCACAGGAGTCTCTTGAGCCCCTGCCCTCATCCTTCTAGCCCCATCCCACTCACAAAGAGCACAGCTCTCTTTGGGCCATCCCTTGACATTCCTTGTGGCTGCCTTCCTACTCCTGTGGAAAATGTCTTGATAAAGCCTGTCACTGACCCATTTTTCCCTGTCAGAAGTCATGGGTCTTCCCACCACACTTGAGTTTTTGAGACAAGGTCTCACCCTGTAGCCCAGATTGTCCTGGAACTCAATATATATCTCAGGTTGGCCTCAAACTTGCAGCAATCTCCTGTTTCAGTCTCCCAGATGCTGGGCAAATAGACTCTTGACTAAACCAAGTTTAACTCTGGCAACTGGACACCACAAACCTAGGCATTACAGTCCCAGGATTGGCCTGTCTAAAGAACTTACAGGTTGCTTTCAGCATAATCTGGAGGAAATGCCAGGGCTTTCATGACGTCGTCTGGGGCGTGAGAAAGCAGCCTAAACGGGAGCTTTTTTTAAAAAAAGGGAATCATCTCTTCCATGAAGTATGACTGCAGAAAGCTACTGCTCATCAGTGACTTTGCATACTTATACACACTTATACACCCATAGACACACTTACACACTTTTTCACTTACACTGCACCTCCCCTCCCAGTGCTGCCTGTGCTTCCTATAAACCACTTTTGAGCCAGAGTAGCTCCCAACCCCCATCCAGACTTCGGACATCTAGCTTAGTTTTGTTCTTGGGTATGCTACCTTAGGCATGATTGCAGACAACTGTATATCTCTTTGCCCTCTGGGTGCTTGTGACTGTGACATCCATGCTGTTATATCCACACAGAGAATTCTCACTGCTGTGTTGAGTCCCATTGCTGTGTTGGGACTCAATCACTTTGTGATTCTTTTTTGCTCTTGGTCATCTGGATTTCGTTATGGACAATGCTACTATACACATCCTCGGGTGTGTCTTTACATGTATACCCAGGTACTTTTTCGATATGTGCCTAGGAGTAAGACTAATGGGGCTGATATTCTTCACATTTCTGGTTTAGTAGATACTTTGATGCAAACTTAAAACTTACCATCTGCCCGGAGTATCCAACTTATGTTCATCAAAACTGAAAAATCCTCTGTTGCAACACCTGTTTTAACAAGTTCCACTTGGAGGTACCTCAGGTCTCCTGGAGTGAGAGTGTGTTGGACCATCCACTCTGGAGATGGCCCTGGGAGAAAAGGCAAGACTTCTTATGACACTTGTACTGGCTGGGTTTGTGTGTCAAGTTGACACAAGCTAGAGTCCTCAGAGAGGAAGGAGCCTCAGCTAAGGAAATGCCTCCATGAGATCCAGCTGTAAGGCGTGTTCTCGGTTAGTGATCAATGGGGGAGGGCCCAGCCCACTGTGGGTGGTGTCATCCCTGGGCTGGTGGTCCCGGGTTCTATAGGGAAGCAGGCTGAGCAAGCCATGAGAAGCAAGCCAGCAAGCAGCACCCCTCCATGGCCTCTGCCTCTGCTCCTGCCTCCTGCTTGAGTTCCTTCCCTGACTTCCAGCAATGATGAACTGTGATTGGAAGTATAAGCCAAATAAACCTTTTCCTCCCCATTTGCTTTTAGGTGGTGGTGTTTCACCACAGCAATAAAACCCTGACTGAAAAAACATTCCCGTATTTGCCATGCTTTCTCCATACTTCAGCCCTGGGCTCCAGCCAGCTAGCCCAAACTTTCTCAACCCCTCACCTTTACTGCTACTGCCCCTCCCGCTCACTCCCTCTCCACTCTCAGGCAAAACCCACTCATTCTTCACAGGCTACCACATCAGGTACCAATGTGTAAAACGTCCCCTGACACCACAACCGCGGTCCCTCTGTGGAGCAGCAGCTACTGCTTCCCATTTAGTGTGGTGAGTCCCACCCTGCCTGTCTGCTGACTCATGGGGATGCCAGCCCACCTCAAACACATCCATACTCCCAAAATTCTGCCATTAAAGCCCTACTCCCATTAGTTAACAAGGCCTGTGTCTGGTCTCCCATGACCCACCGCCTGATTCAGACCTTCTTAATGTTCAACTGCAAATACCCATTCTCTAATGCACCTACCTGTCTCAGAGCCACACTCAACAGTCTGCAGGAAAGAGAGAAACCAAATGTCATGTTGAAGCCAGTAAACCGCAACACCTCACCAAATCAGGCAAAACATCATCTCTTCCCTTAGATGCATGCGCAGGGGACAGCTTTGCAAAGAGAAGATGAGCTGGGAGCTGGAGGGATGACGGCAGCAGCTGAGACAGCACGCTGTTCTCGCAGGAGACCCGCATTTAGCTTCCGCCACCCACGCCGGACAGCTCACAGCTGCCTGCGAGGCCGCTCCAGAGTGCAGCACCTCTGGTTTTTGAAGACATGTGCCCTTGCATACACGTGTGTAAGCGTGTACACACAATAAAATAAAATTCTTAAAATTCCTTAAATGAAGAGAGCTAGTTTGATAGTACTTTACAACTTGAGGGAAATTAAGCTAGCCCACCGAAGGCTGTGGTGGACCATGGATTGGCCATTGGCAAGCCTGATTTCCTGTCAGCTGCCCACCCACTTGAAGACCAGATGGGCTTCATATGTGTTATCTTTCCCTGCCTCGGGTTCCTGAGGTCCCTTTTCTAGCTAATGTTTAACTGTTGGTTTTCAGGACAGTGTAATGTTTATTAATTTCTCAAGTTAAGGATTGGCTGTGCAAAGAAGAGAAGACAGCAGGTAGCAATAAATGCGACCCACAGAGCCTTCTTGGGCCCCTATCATACTTCTCAGCGGAGCTACATAGAAAACCAGGGGCAACTGTGACTTCATCACATCTTTCTAAAACAGCTTTCAAAAAAGTAAAACTCATTAGTTTCTAAGAAAGGCCAGTACCAAACCCCTTAAAGTTTACATGAAGAAATAATAAATAGTATGGTTTGGAAATAGCATATTGAGTCTGAAGCATTTATTTTACTTGTCAGCAATCTTCAGTGAACAAGACAGACACAATGTAACAAACCCAAGGCACTAGGCTCTCAGCTTCCTCACTCCAAAAGCCTTCAGAAGGCAGAAAGCAAAGGTTTTGATGGAGCCGATTCGGTTTGTTCTTTGCATTGTGACATACTTTTATTGAACAAATAAACTACCTAGTAGGAACTAAGATCTAGTTGAATGGTAGTGAGAGAAGATGTAGAAAAAAGCCAAGCAACAGCTCTACCCCTCAGAGTTCGTTCAATTTTCCTCACAGCAGCTGCTCTCGGGACAGTTTTTCTTTTTCACAGAGAGGGAAGGACAACAGCTGACGGCTTCAGGACATCACCAACAAGCTTTGACTTTCCACAGTCATCAAGGGCGCCTTACGTTGTGTGAACCGGGCAGGGATTGCGTCTGACTGCCTTACTGAGGAAGAGCCTTTTCCTCTTGAATGACCAGAAAGATTTTTTCATTCTTGGGGACTGGAGAAGAAAGGGAAGCTGCTTTCGGGAATCAGCATGGTCCAAGGCGGAAAAGAAAAGCAAGCAGGTGAGTGCAGCCTGTCTGGTGTCCCAACAGGTGGGCAGCATGGCTGGGAGCAGTAGTCTTGTCAGGAACAGACCAGGCACGCCACCACGCTTTTACTGAGGAGGTTACTCAGATGAGCTCAAACGCGCAGCGAGGCATGTCACAGCTAAATCTCCTGCCCCCAGGATGCAGTCTGACAGCAGTTATCTTCCAGGGGGGGAACTGAGGGATGATGAGAGCGCAAGGCCCACTACGGTTATCTCAGGGGTGCCAATCTGACCCCGTCCAGAGCGCTGTCCGTGGACAATTTCCTAGCAGGCCATTCGCTTGTCAGGATTCGGCTAAAGGGATGAGGGAAAGAGTGCTCACGGGGGAGGAGGATGCTTACCGGCTCTCGGGGCAGGACGCTCCTGCACATTGCAGCCAGGCTCAGCAGCGCTAGCAACATGTCCCGGCTACCGCCCACCACCACGCGGAGCTGGGGCAGGCGGTGCTGGGCCCTCTTATCCGGGCGCCGGGAGGCCGTTCCCTCCGGGCCCCGCCTCCCGCAAGGCCGCCCTGCCCCAGTGGGGCGGGGGCTGGCCCGGTCGCCTGCGGGGCTCGCGGGGTGGGCGGGGTGCGGAGGACCGCTCACAGGTGTGTGCGGCAGGCCAGGTGGGGCGACCGCACCCGCGCCTGGAGCTGGGCGCAGCTGGCCCGGCCCTCCCCGAAGAAAGCACGCGACACTCCGGGGCCGCCAGTTAAAGCGCGGCGGGCGAGGACGGCCGGCCACCGTCTGCTCCCGTTCCTGGTCTTCGGCGGCCGAGCGGCGGCCCAGGAGCGGAGCTGCCCGGGGTGAGTAGCGAGCTTCGGACCCTAGGCGGGGTGGGTCAGGGGGACCTGGAGCCTCCTTTACCAAGAAAGGGTCCCAGAAAGAAAGGGGGAGGTACCGGAGCCATCGAAACCTCCTAGGCTTCCTTAAAGGAACCAGAGACAGGAACTTACACAGTTACAAGGTAATAGTGATAGGAATCTCTACCCCTGGCCTCTCAGGCTTTCTGGTAAATTATATTTCACAGAATGAGGTCTGGCGGTTACATCTGGGGTCCCGAAGCTGGTGTCTCAACACTGTGGGTTCAGAGCTGAGGTTCTGACATTTGGCAGCGGCTCTGCACCTCTCAGACTTTAATTCTGGGAAGGTGGACCGCGGACCGTGGACCGTGTTTTTGAGATGAAGTAGCTTGAAATAGTATCATTTGGGATTAGTAAAAGGGCTACAGAGCCCGGAATTCAGCTGCTTCAGCCCTTCCAACGTCAGTAGGAGTGTTGGGTTCACCAGACTCATAGTGGAACTGGAGGGAGCCTTGAGGCAGAAGTCGTCCGGGCGGAGTCAGGAAGCTGTGTTTGCTGAAGCCCTCCTGGGATATAGACTTAGATCACCTGTGGGACTCAAGTGGAGGTTCTGCTTTTGAGCCACGTGGAAGAAGCCCAGGGCCCAGCCTCTGTAGGATTGCGAGGAATGGTTTTCTGAGAGAATTGTTCTGGTTCCTGACTGAGGAGTTTACAAAAGGGAGGTTGTAGCCCCACCTGGACCTGGTACTGGGGCCACCCTGGGCCCCTCACCCAACCTCTGTTATCTGCTTGGGCCCAGTGGTCCCTGAGAACCTTGCTGAACCATAAACGCTTGCTGGCTACCAGGGCGCAAAGGTGAGCAGCCGATGCACACCCTTGGTGTGGGGATGAGTGCAGTGACAGGAGCGTTCAAGGCCACCGGGCCCGCCGTGGTGCCAAAGCCAAATGGAGATTTGTTTTCTGGTTTCAGTCTGAGAACTTTGTCCCATGGGGCTGAGGAACCGGGCGGCTGTTTCGATGGCAGTCAGTCTTCAGTTCTGAAAAAACAGCCTGTGTGTTTGTGCAGGGCAAGCAGGGGGAGCACTCCCTCTCGGGTGAGCGAGTCGGAGCCGATTGCCAACACGTGCTCATTCAGTGAGGAGCTGGGTGCCAAGGCCTGGCCAGGCTTGGAGCTGCCCTGGCAGAACACCCCCTGTTGTAGAAAGCTCAGAGCAAAGGGCAAGAGCTCTGGGACAGTGGGGATAGAGAGGTCAGGCTCAGGGACAGGTCTGTCAGTCAGCCATTTCTTGGCCCTTGAGGCTTAAAGGCGGGTAGGAGGCGCTTCAACTCTAGCACAAGAGCTTATGGTGTCACATGAACGCAGGAAGCCAGAGAGGCCTCACCTGACCTTGGCAAGAGAAGGTGGGATAAGCATGAGGAAATGGCTTGGAGTAGTGGGTTTGGAATAGTTTTGTTTTGAGAAAGGGGTAAGGCAGCTAGCTGGGTTTCTTGTCCAGGAAAAGAATCTGGAGGGACTAAGAGCGGGGTGAAGGTGATGGTAGGAAAGGGGTTGTAGATATGGGAGAATACTCAGGCAAGGGTGCCCACACAGCCTCTGGACACAGCCTGAGCAGTTTCCACCAAAGGCCTGTGATGACAGGCTTAGCGAGGACACTGCCTGGCTCTAGGGCAGGAGTGTGTACCTGTGGCCTGTGGACAGGGCTGCAGAGTGGGCAGTGAAAGGAAATATAAGCAGGGCCCTTGCAACCACAGATGGGGGGGTCACACCTGGGCAGGGGGGGGGCTGTATCTGCCTATCGTCAGGAATTTCTATCCTGCCACAAGTGCCCTCCTCACGACACCATGGATCCTTGTTGATTGAACATTCGGCCTCCAAAGCAACCTGCTGGAGTAGACCCGCTTGCTAAGCCTGGTAACCAGAAGCAAGGCCACAGATGTTGGGAGAGCTTTGCTTCTCCTGGATATATGGCAAGCCACTGCTCTTCTCATAGCCTCAGTTTCCTTTCCTGTACAATGATGTGCCATGAGTGAGCCACAATAGTGAAGAGGTGACTGGAATCCAAGGGGAGCAATCTTTAGAGCTTCCCACATGCTGCCTTGAGTGGTGCATTCAGTCCGGAAGTCCACAAGAGCTGTCATGTAGAAGATCACAGTGTGGTCTGAGCCTGGAAGACATCTTTGTCCAACACTCAGTCTTCCAACAGGCTGTGTGTTGCCACTGTAGCTGAGACTCCAATCCTCCACGCTTCCTGGCTCCAAGACTCACTTGTTGTCTCTTGGCCATGGCCAAAGCTCTTGCTCTCTCACTACCTCAGTTTCCCCATGCATCTATAACATGGAATGGACATTAGCTCTGTCTCTCTAGCATCAGGAAACTCAGAAGAAACCAGAGTAAGGAAAGTAAGTTGAAGAGTTTAAATTTGCTGTGTAGATTTAGAGTAGTAGAGATAAGACAATGAAGACATTTTTACTCTAATGTTTACTCCATGTTCCCATATGGGAAAATTCCCCTGAACCCACAACCTTTGTTACTCTGGTGAACCTGTCCTGGAGAGGACAAGTCTGCGAGGATTGTTGACATACCCTGAGTCTAGCTTCCACCCACACAGGTGGAATTTTCCACTTTTTTTTTTTTTTTTTTTTTTTTTTCAAATATTAAGTCTCTGGGCAGTTAACAGTAGATTCATTGTCTTGTGAAAAGGGAGCCGGTTCTGTTGAATACCAGCTGCTTGCCAGGGCTCTTTGGCCAGCCCTAGCTGGGATAGCAGCCACTGGAACATTCCAGCCTCTGGTGCTGCCTCTGCCCTCTGTTCCACTCCAGCTGCTTGGACTCTGCCGTGACTAATTTAATGCCATCTTTAAGCCAGAGACCCTGAAGGTCATGCAGGGCTTGCAGTCCTTGATTGCCAGCCTGGGCGTGGAACTCCATATATTCTCTGCCCAGTAGGAGGGGCTGGCACAGGAGCACCCCATACCCAGGCGTGATTACAGTTCAGTGTTAATGCCACCCCAGACGATTCCAGGGGGTGAAACCATGTGAGGTCATGACCTTTTCATGGCAGTGATCTCCATCCCATGGATACTTACATTGATTTACATGTTTGTTATCAACACAAACCACAGAAGAAATGGATTTTTTTTTCTACTCTCAGAGTCTCATTACACATGGAATTAGCCTCGTAGAGTTGCAAGGAAAGGCACTTGGCACTGTCTTAGAAGTAGGCAGGATGTTACATTCTTCGATCACTGATAGTTGGATTAATCTGTAGTTGATACTATAATTATTACTGGTTATAGTTGAGGGTCACATTCTGTGTGGTATGGAGGAGAAAACGGGACACATCTATGAGGTCAAGAAAGGCGGAAGGGTCAGGCACCGTGGCTCACGTCTGGAATCCCAGCACTTGGGGAGGCAGAGGCAGGTGGATCTCTGTGAGTTTGAGGCCAACTTTGTCTACAAAGTGAGTCCAGACAGCCAAGGCTACACAAAGAAACCCTGTCTCGAAAGAAAGAAAGAAAGAAAGAAAGAAAGAAAGAAAGAAAGAAAGAAAGAAAGAAAGAAAAGAAAGAAAGAAAGAAAGAAAGAGAAAGAGAGAAAGGGGGAGGGCAGATGCAGTTCAGGACATGTACTGAGAACTGGATGAAATCTTCATGTGCTTTGAGATTTGTATTTTTAAATATTTTAGATATTAGGTTTCTGTTTTCTACAAAGTCTCACTATCTAGCACAGGTTGATTTCAAAATCTCCTGCCTAGCTTTGACTTCCTAACTTGTGGGATTATAGGTTTTTCTTTTGCCCTCATAAGCACAAGAAACTATGAAGTAAATAGATGTTTCTATTTTAAAGTTGTACTTATTTTGTGTGTATGTTTTTTGCCTGCATGTATTCTGTGTACTGCATGCGTGCCTGGTGCCTATGGAGGGCAGCAGAGAGCAGTGGTTCCCCTGGACATGGACATAGGTTGTGAGCCACCATGCGGAATGCTGGGAACTGAGTCCTGGTCCTCTGCAAGAAGGGCGAGTGCTCTGAACCACTGAGTCCTGGGAAGGCTGCATCCTGGGTGTGGTTGAGCTGTAACCCTGTGGCCTGAGGATCCTGACCACCAGATTTCACTTTAAAGTATGGGACTGGAACCTCGAACCCCAATGTATGAGACATATCCAAGTGTGCATTTATTTTACAAGTTGATGTTTGTGTTTTTGTTTTGTGCGACTTCTCCCCTCCCCCAGGGAGAACAACGACACCATGTTCAGGTGTGAATTCTAGAACTTGGGGCTGTTGGGAGTTGGGCGAGCTCTGATTTAATTTGTTTTCTGTGATGAGTTTAGTATAACATAGTTGTCACTGACTACAGTGGAGTAGTTGAGTCCTTTTAAGCTGTTCCTCTTGCTGTCTTGGGACCTCCTGTGGTTACACTGGGTCAGAAGCCTAGAAGGGGACATGCTTGTAAGTTGGAGGCATGATCCTGGTTGTAACGGGCCTTGAGCAGGGCAGGTACTATGGACCCACAAAATGCCCTCATTGGACTTGAAGGCGGCTCGGTGCTCCATTGCTGCTAGAATGCAGGTGGGCATGGGCTTCAGACCACACAGTCTTCATGGAAGTGTTGCCCTTAACATAACCATATTTTTAGGGCAAAAGCCTGGCTCCAGCAGCCCCAGCAGGCTAGGCTGAGCCACTCATCCCAGTATGCCAGTTAGAGATGAGTGATGGTGAGATGTGAGGAGAGGATGTTGGATCAATGTGACCACGTTGGGAATAATATGTAAACAGCCCAGGGATCCCCACCTGGCTAGGTGGATGGACAGGCCTTAGTCATTCTCATACCTCTACAGAGTCAAGCAGGACTGTGACTCAAAGTAACAAGACACACAGCATGAAGGCAGCAGGAAGGCTGTATCTCTGTGGTTCATGAGGGCAAGAAGGCTGAGAAAAGACATGTCTTTAGCAAGCATGAGCTTAGAAAGGAAAGCCTGCCTTGAGGGAGGAGGCAGCTATGAAAGCCAAAACAGAGTAGAAGTATTTATGTTGGATTTGGAAAACCTGAGAGTAAGGTTGCAACAACAAACCTCCATTAGAAAGGATGTGATATGAGACCCACTTCCCAGACACATGCTTTGCACAAACTTATTCTACTCCCCTATTTCTCCTATAGAGAAACAAATAAATTTAAAGAGAAAGGAAGGAAGGAAGGAAGGAAGGAAGGAAGGAAGGAAGGAAGGAAGGAAGGAAGGAAGGAAGGAAGGAAGGAAATCAATCGGGGCCTAGGACTAGAGGCATGCAGTCCTGATTAAGGTGTAGTCAGTGTCTCAATTTTGGTTCTGTAATGTGGTCTGAAGAAGTCTTTATTTCTTGAGGGGACAACAAAGTGGTTCTGATTGCTGGCCCAGGACATGGTCTCACCCAGAGACAAATGCCTTCCTCTAGGGTTTATCTACCCTGGGAGGTTCTGCTATTATTGGAATCCAGGGTGACTGCAGGCCCAAGATGATAACTAACTTATCTCTCTGCCTTCAGTCTTCAAGAGGACTGGATAGGCTAGGTGGATGGACAGGCCTTAGTCATTCTCATACCTCTACAGAGTCAAGCAGGACTGTGACTCAAAGTAACAAGACACACAGCATGAAGGCACAAAGCCAGGCTTCTTTCCTGATTTTAGTTGCTCTGTGAGTCCAAGTGGGGCATGAGTTCTTTGCAGTAAGAGCCATTTTCACACTGGCTCTTGTCTTCTGTTGTATCTTAATGATGTGCTGGAGAGACAGACATCTCTTTCTGATGGACGGAACAGATTTGGGAGGCTCCAGCACTCAGGGTGCCGTTTGTGATGCACTCTTACTTTCTGTGGTGAACGAGTAGGTGTTTGCTTATTTAACTTACCTTTAGATTTTTAATTTCTCATGGGCTGGTCTTAAAACACACTGAAAATTAACCCCCAACAATACAGCAAGCCACACAAGAGTAAAAGCTATGTCCATTGCAAGACCAAAGGTAAGGTCGCTGAACCAGACATCTGGAGAAGTTTCTCACCTCTACCTTCCTTCTGTACTTATCTTTCACAGAGAATCAGGAGAGGGTGTGGGCTGCCCCAGTGGAGACTGCACTGTGTCCTGTCACTTCTGAAGTGAGGTGAGTGTTTGCAAATTGAGACTGAGAAAATTTTGTAACTTAAAAGAGCTGCAGCAAAGCCTCTACAGAAGATCCCAGCTCCTGGGAAGAGTGAGCAGCGTCTGTCTGTGCCTTGCTCAGCCTCTGCTTCCCAGAGTGGTGGGATTACAGACCATGGGCCACTGGGCCCAGCTGCACACTTGCCTTTTATGCTATGACTGTGAAATATCCTCCATGAGCTCCTGTGTTTGAACTCTTGGTGCTCTCTCTCCCTCCTCTGGGTGATATTTGAGATTCTTAGTCAACCATGGCTGAAATTCTCCCTTGTGTGGAAATTTGAAAGCATATGCAAATCTAGCTAGAGGGAAATGAGGTGGGGACTCCTTTTCTGTTCCCTTCTCTAAGCCTTCCTATCACCTGTGGGTAACCCTGTTTTTAATTTCATTCTACTCTTTATGACTTTTTAAAAAATTCATAATCTGCAATGTAAATGTTATGTAAATACAGTGTTGAGAAAATAAAGACAACAAAAAATGTCCACAGGTGAGTATTTTTTCTTCTGCCTGTTTTCCAGCTTGTATTTCTGAAAGGCTTTTAATCACCCCAAGACCATTGTCACATCTGACAGACAATGGTTTCTTATCTTCCTCAGATCTGTCCTCTAAATTCTAGTTCCCAGGAACTAGCTAAGAACCACACGACCTCTTGTTTCTCATTAAAAAAAAAAAAAAAAAACCCTACCCCCACCCCACCCCTCACATACGCCCACAGACATATATGCCATTTTTATTTCCTTGAATATATTTTTAAGAAATGTGAGCCTGCTGTGGTAGCTCACACCTGTAATCCCAGCACTCAAGGAGGCTGAGGCAGAGGCAGGTGGAGCTCTGTGAGTTCAAGGCCAGCCTGGTCTGCAAAGTGAGTCCAGGACAGCTAAGGCTACACAGAGAAATGCTGTTTCAAACAAACAACAGAAATGTGTGTGGTTTCTCCCCACATGAATTCAGTGGACAAATGTCTTTCATCACATCCTTAGTTTTCTCTATTTCCTGTGCTCTATGGGCCATACTTGATGGGAGTATCTGAAAACATGATGTCATTCCAGTTTAAGTATTAATTAGCATCACAGAGTATTTCTTTGGCAGGGTATTTCCTAGGTGGCATTGCAGTTTTTTATTTAGACTCTCTCCCCAGGTGTTAAGAGAAGTCCTTTGTTTTCAGTTGTCTCTTTTGCATGGCGTCACTTTGGTGAGGTCCAAGCTGACCCTTACATACTTCTTTTCCTACTTCTGGCTCCAGGAACCTCCATCTTAGGACTCCAGCAGCTGCTGTGGAGAAGTGTAGTGGGAGATATAGGGAGGGAAGTGGCAGCAGGACACTGTTAGGACCCTGTGGGGAAGGCTCTAGGGAAGGAGTTGGCTAGGCAAGGTCTGTGGGGTCGTTAGAAGTAGATTCAAATTACTTAGGAAAAAAATCAGTGCTTCTCTGTACCATGGTTTGCATGTCCACCCGCCCCACTTTTATAGCAAGTTTTTACCCTGTACCTGCTTCTGGCAGCTTTAGGCTTCCTCATTTGCTGTTAGTAAATGAAACAACCTCCCATCTTCACTTTGGTTCCTGATGGGTAAAGGCTGATAACACAGGTCCACCAGGCCACCAGTCATTTTGAAGCTCTGACATCCACTCTGCACTGGGCCTGTCACAAGAAGGGTCTTTAATAGCCCTGAAGAATAGTTCCTTTTTCTCTTGTTGCCCTGTTACTACACAAGAGCTCAGACACGGAGATCTACACTTGCTGAGCCAGAGCACCATGGCCCCATCAGCTTAGACTCTCTCTGCTGTTCGGTCCACTCATCCAGGCACAGCACAGTGTGTGTGGAGCTCCTGGCTGGAGCGCACCATCCCTAAGCTGTTTCCATCACCCTATGCTGGCTCTTCGCCTTTGGGAGGGCACCTGACAACAACCTGGCTGCATCCTCTCTTCTAATACACCTTCCTCAAATACACCTTGGGCAATCAGCCACATCAGGCTTCAAGGGAACGAAGCGGCAGGAAACCCCTCACTCCCCCCACACAGGAGCAGCATATTCCCTGGCGTGCAGTATGATGGCTGCTTTTCCCATGACGGTGCCCGAATATCCAATAGAAGCAACTTAAGAGGGGAGAGGTTTATTTTGATTCATAGTTCAGGGGATGTTGACTGTTATGGTAGGGAAGGGGTGATGGCTGAGAGGGTCAGTTAGTTGGTACCAGAGCTTATAGCAATGGCTTTGTGCAAGGTGTCAGCGAAGAATGCTTCAGGCAGAGTGGACTGGGCTAGAACCTCAAGGCCCATATCTAGGAACCTACTGCCCCCCAGCCATGTCTGCCTATTCCAAAGGCTCCACAACCTCTTCAAACAGCACTGTTAGCTGGAGACCAAGTGTTCAAACACAGGAGCTCATCGAGGATAGTTCACAGTCAAACTATAAAAGGCAAGTGTGCAGCTGGGCCCAGCGGCCCATGCCTGTAATCACACCACTCTGGGAGGCAGAAGCAGGTGGATCTCTGTGAGTTTGAGCCCAGGCTGGTCTATAAAGTGAGTTTAGGATAGCCAAGTCTACACAGAGAAACCCTGTCTCAAAAACAAAACAAAACAAAACAAAAAACGAACAGAAAAGGCAGGAGCTCTTCTAGCCCATGTTAGGTCCCAGAGTCCCCACCTGCTGTTACGTTTTGATGACAACCATCACAGAGAAAAAGGGAGCTCAGCTAGGCCGTAGGGACGCACACAGAGATTGGATTCCTGAATGCAGAGCCAGTGTGTCGCAGGTGGCTATGGGAAGGGAGACGGAAGAGCAGCATTAAGTCCAAAGATCCCAGGCAGGCAGCCGCCGCCTCTGAAATCATGTAGGTTTCCAACTTAGGAATCACTGACCTGGGGCCATCTGCAAAGGCAAGGCCCTGGGACATGCAGCATCAGCCTTGAAGACTCCCAACTCTTAAGCGCTTTCTCGGCAGCCTCTGCTTCATGTACAGAATAAGCGAGAGGTGAACAACAAAAGAGCAGACTCTGTTCAAAATGGTGAACTTTACCAGGGTCTGAGAATTTTTGTAGTAGAGAGTAGGAAGCAGGGAAGGCCCGGCTTTACCTGGGCAGGGTGAGAGGTAAACCAATGACCTGTTTTGTTTTGTTTTTTGTTTTTTTATACCTCCTGGATCCAGGGTGTGTGGGAGAGGTTCTGGATTCCATGGACAACAGGTTTTACAGACCTGATTTTGGGGATAGGGAATTTCCCTTATCCGACCTCATCCCGTCCACAGTAGCTTCACCAGCAGAGTCAGGGAGTATTCTGCATGTACCACAGGGGCCGAGGGAGCATGGCTTTGTTTTCTCTGTTCAGATATCACCTCTCAGAGGCCAAGAAGCTCTCTGTTGTGGGAGACGAGAATCCCTGCCGCGGTTGTTTGCTGTGTGTGTCTGTGTAGAAAGATTCTTAGGAAGAGAAATTTGAGTTTAGGAAAATTATGGTCCCATGTTGATGATATAAGAAATGGAGGGAAAATAGATTTTTGAAGAGAATGCCTTAAACTTTGTTAACATTTAATTTTGTTTGTCAAGACATTTATTTAGCCTACATAGGCCAACTTCAAGCTCTCTGTGAACCCCATTGTGAGACTCTTGTGTCTCATCTTCCTGAGAACTAAGATGACCGACGACATGCAACAATACTGACAAAGCTTTTAGTTGACTGGGCTTCGCTGGGCATTCAGCGACGTGTGTGTCACAGTTGCTTTATCTGTGTCTACGTCCAGGTAGCCGGGTTAGGATTCCGAACTTGTCCCTCCTGCCTTGTGCTTCCTGTCTGTCCTAGCACTGATGGAGATAGGCTTGGCTCCAAAGTCTCAGACAGCCAGGAACAGCTGGCTATAGGCCATGTACAGGTTGATCCTTGAGTGTCTCTTTGGAGCCAATATCACAGAGCGCAGCCTCTAAGCTAGGCTCAGCACACGGAAAGTGGAATATAGAGAAGCCCCTGGGTGAATGTGGCCAGTGGCTTCTGTACAAAGCTGATACTTAAGTGAGGTAGGCAGAAAGGGAGGGGTGAGCCCATTGAACAGAACGTGGTATAGGCACTGGAGGAAAAGATAGATAGTACATGCCGGGGTCTAGTACATGCAAGTGGAACTAAGTAGAGCAAGAGGTGACAGGCAGAGACAGAGACCAGCTGGCAGGTTCTTAGAACAACAGAGACTCTGAGGCCATTAGGAAGCTCCTTGTGATATTTTAGGGGTTCAGGTTGCCTGGGATGAAGGTAACAGTGAAATTCCGATTAGAACCACTAGACCCTACGTCTCAGCTCAGAGACTGAGGCTCCACTCTCAGCTGCCCCCAACTCACCCAGAAACACTATAGGTCTGGTGATGGGGAAGTAGTACTACCGGCAAGGAGCTGCTGGGCTGCAGGAGAGCAGCCAACCCTTGCCAACTCCTTGGCCTCCTTTGCTCTGGCATGGGTGTTTGGTGATCCATTTCCCATCCCACGTTCAGACTGTGACCTTTTGGCTGCCTCGCTGTGGCTTAATTGGTAGGGACTGTGGTGGAGGTGGGTCTGTCCACTGATTTGACATGGGGTGTGGGCAGGAACTTGGCTTCTTGGGGCTTGCTTCCCTTCAGGCAGTGATGGTGAAGATCCTCGTATTCCCTTGTACCTTTAGGGGACTCAGTGGCACAACCCATGCCCAGTGCTCAGAACAGGCAGCTGTTGCTCCTCTGGTCAGTTTGGTACATTGAGAAGTATCAAATGGTACAGTGTCCCCGCCTGATGACACAGACTCTTTCTACCCACACACATCATTCTCAGTTGGCAGCCTCATCTGGGTTCTCTGGAAATGGCAAATCTTAGCCCACACTAGAAGGCCAGGCGACAAAGTTGAGATGATCTGCCCCAAATCCTCTAGTTCTGAGAGTGACTCCCAGATTGGCGAGGGTGGCCATGGCCTCCAACATGGGGTTGAGGATCTGTGCCCTAGGAACAGTGG